AATTGATAACGCGGTGTTGGTAAGTCTGTCAGTTTACGCAAATAATTTCATGGCTCTATCCTCTATCTGTATTTTGATCGGATCATGGTACCATGATGTACCATGGTACCTTGAAAAGACTTCTCAAAGCCAGGCTTTGTGCAATTTCTAGCTTTGTGCAATAGTAGTGTTTGAGGCTTTGCTAAACACTACACATCTATATAGAAGATAATGTAATTATAATTATATATATTTATTTTCATTTTTTATAACGATTTTTGCCTTCGACAATTGTTATGCCGAAAAATTAAATTTAAATATTAAACAAAAAGTATTTCGTTAAAAGTTTTCCTACCAAGTATTTTAAATTTATATTTTTCCAATGATATTAAAATATCACAATGAATTATTCATATCCCACGAAGAAGAAGATAATAGGCAAGTTGAGCATTCAACAACAGAACTTGAAAAACAAATTTACATAAACGACGGGTGGTGCGTCGGGCATGAATTGAATGAAAAATCAATAGAAGTGACAGCGACAAGTGGATTATCACTTGAAACATCAACAAAACTAACAGTTGTCATTATGATAAACGATTTTTAGTTATCTTTTGATGTATAAGTACAAACACACATCTCTGCACACAAACAACGGCAAATAGATAATGCGAGTACATAAAAAAAAAATATTTTATGTACTTCACTTCAACTTGTAGATGATTATCGCAAGTGAATAATACGAAATCATGGAAACGCTTGAGGACTTGGGGATTGTTATGATTAATTGGAGTTGCTGGAAGAATTGACAGTAAAATGTTTTAACATTAAACGATATTGTTAGGCATAAAGGAACGTATAATAACAGGTTTCAATAAAAAACTTTATTTATAAAAATTAACCTTCAGCCTATAAATAAGCACACATAAGCACTAAAATAATTACAAGTTTTCAATTAAAATGTCCACCAATAATCAATCTAAGTCAGATACAATTCAATGGGGAAATAGCCAAACTAATTGGTAAGGGAATGAACAAAAAATGCCAAACTGTTAATAGTTACGAACAGTTGCGTAAATGCCTGCATGATTTATTGGCGACTAATTATACCTTAATGACTGCTGCCTGAGAAAAGTTTCACATAATATCATCGAAGAGATAGATACATGTCAGTGAATTGCACGTTGCTCCATTACAGCTAACATATTTCAAATTTCTATTATCAAAGCCAGCTGATACGTATACGAGTATCTTGTCGTTAGCAACGTAAGCACATATAAAACAATACTTTTGCTAATTTTGCTTGCACGTTACGTGACTAAACATTACCCGCATTGTATTACGATTTAAGGATATCTTCAACTCATGGATACTTCGATGTATCCAAGCAATAGATAAATACATTTCTGCTGATATCATTGTTGACATTAATGACGAAAACCATCAACATCAGATTGGTACTGGCTGTTATGTTGTTGATATGTCTTTAACCCTTAACAATTCATTGCTAAAGCAAACATTCGTTTGTCTTGAGATAATTTCATTACGAATGATTTCAGTACGATGCTATCACATCAATATCCTATCAACACACTTTACTTACTCATCATCATAAACCAGTGACATTACAGTAAAACACAAGAATGTGGATGATAGCAAATAGCATCAAGCAATCTCATATTGTGAATCTGTTATAGGTATACATGTCAGAGATAAAAAGAAGAAAAAAATCTAATAAATAAACAAATTGATTCCTTTGGATTGTTAATCTACTCAGAAGTTAATGTGCTGATAATAGATGTTTTTATTGAATATATGTAAATAATATGTACGATAATACGAATCTGATTTATTCTTTTTCATTTTCTAAATATATTTATGCTTGATTATCATTTTATAAGAAACATTAAATTCACAATTGAACTCATTCCAAATGGTTGCAGTAACCTAAATGACTTAATAAGGTCGTTGGATAGCTGTGAGCCATATTACGCAGGCAAGTAAATAACGATCGATTAAGAAATTTGTTGTTACTATCATTGTTTTTGACTTCATTTGATCGTCTGCATAGAATTGATTTTGTTTTAATTAATTACCCGTAACAACACATTTTCGGGTTCCTGCCTGAGGCAGCAATCCTCTCCATTCACTTACTTCATCGGAGACATGGTATACTTCTAAGGCCTTCAAACACCTGTTTCAAATATCTGGACATGACCCAGTCATGTTGTAATGAAACTCGTACAAATTGTTATTAATTCGGATGCAATAGTCGTCGCTAATACGTGGAGTACCAAAATTTTTACAAAGTGCTTTTTTTTTAAAAAATGTGAAAATTAAATAACATAAAATACAATCACAAACAACACAATTACGACTGATGTTTTATAACTTAGGACGTGTGCGAGGTAGACTAAGTTGATGCTAAACCAAATGGGAGATTTTTTGGGATTTTTTGCACTGCACACATTTAGCCATTTATCAACACGGATCGACATATCACTACATTATCGGCACAACTTAGAATTTCCCTCATTTAGAACGCAATTTAGCCTAATTCGCACAAGTTTCTAAAACCAAAATATTCTCCTACTTTAGAATTAACAAAAATAATTATAAAATATAAATAACAAAACTAATTTCGTCCTACATCAATGAAATTTAATATAACCGGGCTTGAGGCCTATTAATTAACACTTAAATTGTTAATAAGAGTATAATTAATATTTGATAAGTTTGATAAGTGAACTACAACAACAAAAATCATTTCTATATTATTTTAATGAATTGAATCTTTGGCTGTTCATATGACTATTGCCAAATGCTCTTTATCAATGCTCTTGGGAATTATTTCTTATATTTAATTATTTGCAAATGATTTTTTGAAGACTGCAAGTACTAAAGGTTGAACTCGTGCCCTGCCAAATTTAAAGCTCAAAATCTATGTTCATTAGCCAAATGATCCAAAGCCGTGCTTAACTTGTATCGCCGATGGACCATTTTTTTTTCTTAGGAATTATTTATTTACGAACATAAAGATTATACAATTATACGAATATGAATAAAAAAAATAGTTCCTAAGACCACTGATAATAAATATTTGGCATTACTCGTATAGTTGTCAAAAATTCAATTAATTAAAATAAGATTTTGTGTTGTTGTAATTCATTACTTTTCGAAAGCTCTCTACTTAAAAAAAATTTAAAAACAATCAAAATCTCTTCAAAAAAAAAGTTTATAAAAAAAAACAATTTAAAAAAAAATTTTTTTAAATTACCTCAGGTAGGATTTGATCATTTTGGGATCTCAAGATCACAAATTTAAAATGCTAATTAACTAATTTAATTTGTGTAGGGCGTCTTACAACCAATCACGCACTTACATACTAACAAATTTACTTAATACTGAGAAGGAAACTTAAGTAGAATTTGAATGAATCACAACACCAACAACAAAAACAACTCGTCTGTCGTTTTGGATCTTGTGTTCGTTTTCCCGTCATTCAAATTGTGAACACACTTGTCTACTCTTCTACCAGTTGAGCTACCGACGCTACGCATCCAACTTTGAACAAAAATCTATTTAAGTTAAATATGGTATAAATATTTTTACAAAAACACACATGAGAATTATAAGTCAGTAATATATGCACATTTGCATTAAGGTACATATTTACTATTTATTAAGTCCTATATGTTATATTTACAAATTATAACAAAAATATGTATTTCTTTTTCTTTGATAACTAAACAATTTTTTTTTATTATTATATATTTTTTATATAAATAAAAAAGTTATAATTCAAAAATATCCAAAATTTCTTTGCCTATTGCTATAAAATGTTGATAACAAAGAATACTTGTACAAGAACGGAAACTCCGCCCATATCGATTGTAACGAAGAGAATTTTATAATATTTTCGCACACGTATTGAATACATGTGATCTTACCATGATAACATCAAATTACTCTCTTTTGGGGTTGCAGTATATCAGTTTGTTACTACTTGCTGGATACTACATGATAATATAACATCACTTAAATAAAATATGTATATGTGGTGAATAATCCCAGTAAGGAACGGATCGATCGAAGACGCCTCAAAGACATGGACACATCGATCCAAATGTATTGCGACATTTTCGAACAAATTTTGCGTACATGCCTCGAAGACTGGAGCCATCCATAGCGGCTTCATTCGATTAAAAATTATGCCAATGAGTATTTCATACATACAGTGTGCATCTGCTGGTTTACTAGTAGACCCTTTTTAGACTCAATCTTTCACTCAAATTCTCAGAGCGGCATAAGTGAGAAAATATGAACCAAAGAGAATATAAAAACACACATATGATAATAATAAACATATGATATCAAATGCGGTATTGATTTGGATTATGATCGGCTGTTGCTAGAAATAGATAAGAACTTTTTGTTTTTGCATATATGGGAAAAATGATATTTAATTAATTAATTTTTTATTCATTAATTTGTTATTTAATAGGATTAATTGGAGTGTTTTCAATTATTTTAATCGAAAACATTTATTATATATATTATTAACTTTAAAATTGATTGTTTAAATAATTTGCTTTTTTATGTATAGTTATATAAATCGATTTCATTATAAAAACAAATCTATGATAATTAATTTAACTTTTAACTAATTATTGATTCTTTGTTGCTCATACAGGAATTATGTTAACCGATATTAGAAATTTAAGGAATAGAGGAGTTTGTGATAGTTATAGAATAATACTTCAACATCTACTATATATTTCAGATTTATTTTGTTCAGTTAAAGTTAGATAATAATATTAGAAAGTCGAAGTTTATTAATCAACAAGGAATTATTAAGTTTTTTACCATCGATAACTTAAAAAAACAAGCAACAGAAATCCCTTTCATAATACAACAAATTTAAGCAACCCTGTTTTTTGAAATGTCTTTCAAAATTCTTCATTTCAAAACGTTAAATTGCATTGCTTTTAGACTGTTATAAATTCTAGTCATATATTATCTGTCATTGCGTTGTTTCAAATAAGTTATTTCTGCAGATAGAAATTTCTGGATACCAAATCTTGATTTTTACTTAAGTAAGATTTAACTTAGTAGTAATTTAACGGCATAATGGTTATTTGTAAATATTTTTTGCGCGGCCAGTGTTGGTATGGTTCTAAATGTCGTGATGAGCATGTTGATATTAAATACGACATAAAAACTGATATAAAAAAGGCAGTTCATGGCAAACAGTGGCAATTGTCGTGCTATGGACCGTTCAAAGGTAAGCCGTGTATACCAGATTATATTGAAGATGTGTCGTTTGAAGAAATTCGTCTGGAGTATTACAAAGTTAAACAGACAAATGATTTTGCAAAGGTTCATCAAGCCGTCACTATGCAATTTGAGGAAGCAAATAACAAAATGAAAGCTCTTTCGAAGGTAACTGCTAAAACTGTAAAAATGTTAGTCAATATTTATGAACATAATGACAAGTCTGTTATGACTGACAAACCTAAAACCCATCAAAATATTTTTGGAGGCAGTGATTTAAAAGCTATGCGCAATATTGCGTCGGTTGGTGATATGCCTGTAGAACAGAGTTTTGGGTCCATTTTTAAAAAATCATACGTACTGGACTCAAATTCAATTTTTAGTGGTTCCCACACCAATTCTTTGTTCAAACAACAAAATTCTGAAATGCAAGCACCGAGCAGTTATATAAATTATTTTGGACAAGCTTCAAATATTGAACCACAAAAACAGTCTCTTGGTGCATTCGGTCAGCAGCAACAGCTACAATACACGAAATCAATATTTGAACAAGCTAACGGTGCAAATAATATATTTAATTCAAATTCTCCAAGTATCTTTTCTAATCAATTTATACAAAATGGTGTACAAAATCAGTCGACTACCACACTTTCGCAAAGTGAAATGCAGCAGATACTACCGCCATCTCCTGAACCAATGTTAGTGGATGAAGAGCCTGAGGAGCAGTCGTTTCAGTATCTGATGCAATGATCCCAGTGACTCAATTATATACAACTTGAGGCTTTCAATTCAGATTCATTTACTACAGGAAATGTGTCAACGAAACCACAACCAAAAACGTTCATTAATGCATGCATATTAAATAAGAATATATCACATCTCGAGTTTCATAGGACTTGAGTTTACTTTTGTAATCAATCTAGAAAATCCAAATATATTTGTTTGGATAAAAATGAAAAGATGGGTTAAGGGCGTAATATGAGACGTTCATAAAATATTACTTTACTGATTTTTACTAATGATATCTCCAACAACTTTGCAGAGTTATTATTCAAGAAATATGAATATCTATTACAAAGTAAGATCACCAATCCTGTATCTTATGGTATTAACATATAAATAAAAAAAAATGTTGCTATAAAATCTAGTCGTCTTCCAATATGTTAAGGTTATGTTATGTTAAAGTGAATTAGAACTTGGTAACCGGATCAGCTTTATTCAGTGGGTCTGTTGTCAATTTGATGAATTATGAATTTAGGAACCTGATATTTTTAACTGATTATTTCTTAGTTTATTGAGGTCTAATAGAAATGAGAAATTTTTAATATCTATTTGACCGTAGGGCAATAACTATTTTCTACAGTTAATAGCATCTAATATAACAACATCTTGGCAGACATAATATATGCACAAACGCCTTCAAATACACCCTGCATTATGTTGAAATATATATTTTCTGTTATATGAAATATATCAAGTTCACTAAAAATGCAATTAGAAATAATTCCAAATTCGTGAGTTGTTAAGCAATAAATATTCTTCAAGTGTATACTTAGTTCGTACATTTTGCTCAAACTCACATATTTCTCGGCAGTTTTAAGATTTCTGGAATCTTTTTTGGCAACGAATATTCTATAAGACTGTGAAATGAATGATATTTAGTATAGCACAAGTTTACAGTGTATTGAAATGAAACCCATACGGATATTACTTTTAATTTTAAGGACGAAAAGTTTACACTGAACCAAATGAGTTATGGAAGATTCACATTGTTTTTTACATACGTAATAAAAAATTATTAAAAATTTTGCGACCTGACTCTAGAGCAGCAGTAAATGAATAATATTTGTGTAGTGATTTGTAAAACCAAAAACGATGTCAGCTGAGATTTGAAGAAAAGTCATACCTTTTTTTTGGTTGCAGAGAATGCGATATAGGCCGAGCACATCTTTGATGTAAGAATTAAGTTGGAAATAACTTAAAAATACATAAAACTGTCGAAGGCTACCTATCAAGGCCAAGACCGTTATATGGTCCGACAACTACATACGTACTTGTGGTAAAATCATTGAAGTATACTTCTGCTTCTTTGCAGTTATCTGTTTTTGACGTCAATGAAATTCCAACATAAACCTTTGTATTGCAACAAGTAGTGTTGCCCTATCTCTTCTTCGTGTCTCGTTGAAGATTTTGTGGATGATGATGATGTGTGTGGTTTACTTCCTCACTACTTGTACTTAGAATAGATTATAGAATTTTCATGTATTAATCATTTAATTTTATAAATGAATAAGCATGTGGCATAAAACGAACTTTAAGTCTTCTATTTTACACTAATTGCAACTTCGATCAACCTCCCGATGACATTATTTCATGCCTTCATGCTTTTAGTGAATTTGCGAGTGAATTAATGAATTAAACCAGACAAGACACGCAGTGGGTGCTTCGCTGGAATTTAAGGTAATTCTTAATGACACCCAATGTACCTACTGAGTGTTATTAATATTTTTTTCTCTCTAAAAATCTCGGGCATTTTCAAATATGTTGAGGAATTATATATTAATATATCATCGCTGTTATAGGGAATCCTTATTCAATAATGATTAATTTAATTTTAATTATGTTAACTTTTGTGACTCACTCCTATTAACTCATCTGGCAGTTTTTAGCAGGAATTGAATATGTTAAGAAGTAAAGTCATTATCATAGCTGAATGTTTGAATGCAAAAAATTATTTGACTCTTAACTTATAAAATAAAAATGACTAATTCATTTATAATAATTAATGATTAAAATTAATTAAACCAAAAAAATAATATCACTATATATATTTCGTTACAGCTTTTTATTTGTTTTTTATTCATGCAAAGAATTTTGTATCTAAATTCAAGTGAAATACTCATACAAAATAGAATTAAAGCGTATCAAACAATCCGTTAATGTAGCAGTTTTTCAAATTTTCATGAACTTCATTAGAAACTAGATCGGAGGTTATCACAAATATTTATTTTCACTTAAAAAAAAATATCTTTAGCGAAACACATACCATTTAGAATAATCCCACCAGGATGATCATGGACCCTCATTCATATAATTATCAACACTATCTGTGTCTGTGCTTTTTTTCTTAGAACTTTCGCCACATGATTCACTTATATTTGCATAATTATTTATAATTTCATGAATAATGGTTTTTACACTATCTATGTCCAAAGCCGTGACTCCTGAGTACGAGCTAAGTAGGTCAAACTGCCGAATCACTTCAACAATTTTTTTCTTAACAATGTCTTCGTTCATTTCACTTTTATTGCCATAAGTTTTGAAGAAGTGATTCGGCTGTTCTACGAAATCTGCAATATATATTTATTATTTTAAATCATAAATGATTAGATTTATAGATCTACTTACTTTCTAGGTCACATTGTTTTGTACGGCTATGGAAGGAAACACCAACATTTGAGTTACCCAAACGTTGAATACCTGAATTTGAATTTGAATTATTCTTAATTTTCGCTAAATCATCAATTATATTATGAATTTTATATTGAATATAAGATTCATTCAGTGCTGTAGGCTGTCTCTTCTCACGTGATAACAAATGAGGATGGCTCCAAAGACGAGTTGCACTTCCATAATCAGAACTACTATTTCGCTTTTCTGCTTGACCAGTTGGAATCTGATGGTTGCCTGTGAATAATAATATATTGATTACTGTAGTTAATGATTTTAGGGATGAATTGTATTCCACTTACATTTTGCTGACCCTCTTCGGTTTTTTGATAAATCATCTGAGGGCATATATTTCCCAAGTTTTCGCTGAGGAACCAAGATACGATCACTATCCTCTGTAAATAAATCGGCTTTCTTAAATTATGTGAATATTAAATAAAATTAAATTTAATTTACGTTTTGAAGTCAGTTTTCTTTTCTTATTGGGGATATATTCTTCGCCATCTGAGGACGCACAGCGTTTAAGTCTTTTACCAAAAGTCACGAAAGGATTATATATCTCTGAAAATAAATTATTATTGTTATAACTGTTATTATAATATCTAATAAGCTTCGTTATTAGAATTAAATTTCAACCCAAACATTTTTTTCGCGATACCTGAATTTAATAAAATTATAAATGACATTTGTGTTCAATAAAAAAAAAAATTAAAAAATGACAAGAAGGCTTACTTTTTTTTTCTTTGAATTCATGGCTCAATTTCAGTTTTTTAACCGAAAAATTCGGCTTCACCTTCTTCACTTCATCAAATGCTTGAGGTTGATTAACTTCGTTAAACTCCTCTATGTAACTTAAATATGATTGCTGGGAACCCAATTTGTATCCAATGTCTTCCGAATTCTTCGCAACTCTTTCACGTGGTTCAGTGTCATCAAATTGTATCCACTCTGTTGGGGACTGGGGACGTTTCTCAGTATTAAATCCACATCCATTTTTATTATCTTTCTTAGAGTGCTTTTTGCGTGTCTTTTTAGTGGCTATGGTATAGCTATACAAACCGTTTTTAAAATCAATGAAACGAAGTTTTTTTGCTATGGTTATGGTTTCCATGACGTCAGTACGCAAAAGCTCGTAGCCCTTTTTCGATGTCTTCGCCAGGTGTTTAACGATATCCTCTGCACTTGCAGGATTTTTCAGCTGAATCAACGCCTTCAATATTCGCTTACCTGCGATCCCCATGTTACGATTTATTTTTATTTTCTTAAAATTTATTTCACAATACAAGAATTTTATAAGCAAATACAACGTCAAAGATAATTTGGTAACGTACTTCAAATATATTTTGTTTCAACTGCAGCAAATGAAAATAACTTTATACCTATCAAGTTTAATAAAATGTCATGACCAACTTTATGAAATCTAAATATGATAATTAAAAACAACTTTATGACTATTTTGTATAAGAATGAATTTATAATTTATTTAAAATTATAACTGAAGTTGTACAAATCTTGTCGTTTTTACGTTCCTTAAGCTAGTATCGTTTTTATGAGGCCGATTTCTATTTCTTGTAAATGCTTGAATCTGATGTTCATCGAACACCATTTGGCCTCTGACCCTGTGCAGACAGCATATGGAAGAGTTAGGATATCCTGCAGAACACTCAGTTGCCAGAGCCTCATTAGTGAAAACAGGGAACACCGCGGGGAGGTTGAGGTTCACGTCAACTCAAGAAAAACTGTTTGAGACGCGTCTTGAGCCGTGCAGACTATCATTTTTGGATGTCATTTAAGTAGCGCTCTCTCTTGCTCAAATTTATTCTAGTGACCGAATATGAACATGCTCACATACAAGAGTTGTCATTCAAGTAAAATTTTTGAAGAATAAAGTTATTTATGCACACTGTAAGTGTGTTAGTGGCACCACGCCAAATTATGCTCTAGACTGATGAATGCAAGTTTTTGGGTGACAGACTATCATTCTCAACATGTTGGCGAGAAGATGAATGATGTGCTCACCAAAACATATTGGTTGCGTGCCATTCAGAGGTGCAGACTATCATTTTTGAGTGTCATTTATTAATTTTCTTCTTTGAATGACACTAAAAAATGATAATCTGCACAGCTCTTCAGCAATTTCTTGTTATTTGAAAGATCGTCTTTGCCTGGAAGGTTTCATTTTCAACAATTTCTTTCAAAGCAACAACAATTGACAGCTAAAATTACAAACAAAACTCTCGTGTAAATCCAGTATTATTCAAAAAATTGTGATGATTGCGAGGAAAACTTTGACGATTATTCGAACTACATTTACATTATTGTGCTGTGAGGTGAAATTATCACACATCACAAAAACCAAAAGCCTATTGCTATACAATGGCGCTTAATAGTTTTCACCAAATGATTTTGCTATTTTGACCACCCCGTCCTTACTCACCACGGTGTTTGTGATTTCGTTGATTGTTTTGGTTTTTTAACACTAAAAATTCGTTACGAAAATTATCTGGTAATAAACATTTTGGTTGCCAGCTACATCAATTTTAATGTATCACAATTCTGGTATGGTAAAATAGATAAGAGAGAAGTTTTTGCGATATTACACAGAGTCGCAATTATTTAACGATTCTTCACAGTTTCGTG